TCCTTCCTTCCTTCCTTCCTTCCTTCCTTCCTTCCTTCCCAGTTATTTCATATTCTCTTTCTTTTTATCAAGATACAAATCAGATGGTTCACAGCAGGCAAAAGAATGCCACCTCTTGCTAGGACGCTATGATTCTAGTTGAACCTAGGTGATTTTAAGTGATCATATGAACAATTTCATTTTTCTAATATATGCTGTGAGGAGGCAGGCAAAAAGTAAACTACATAATTGAAATCTCCCTTAAACAAACTTTTGTCGTTGGCACCACTTAGGATCCAGCCTCACCAATTTTTCTGTGTTATCAAACTGAATGGTAACACTAGACCTGTGCATGTCTCAATGATATTCACAAAGAATTTCACACTCATCCTCTAGACAAGTAAAACTTATCACTTCACACAGATAAAGGAAAACCTAGGGCCAGTGTTTCATAATTTGCAAGTTGCTGCTATTCTAGGCTTTTACACATAAGAATTTAGAAATATGGAAGAATAAAAGATTAAAAAATTGTGAAAGCCGATAATAAAACTTAGTATTTCATTATAATGAAATTGACATAACATATTTAATACAAATTAACGTGAAATTTTTCATTTGAGATAAGTGGTAACGTACCTAAGCACACATAACCTTAAAAATCTGACAGATCAGTTGGATTGCTTGATCGTGTAAATTAAATATATATTGGCATTATTGGAACCATATCCTACAGGAAAGAAAATATTTTTCTTACTGGTGAAGTGGAACTTAAATTTCAGCTTTTATCACAATACCCTGAAAAGTTCTTTAGAGATTTTTTTGTAGCTCAAGATGTGCACAGCTTGTTGTACTCACATTCTATTTCCTAAGGCGAAAAGATTTTGTGATCATTAAGAGCAGTGTCATATATATTGTGGGCAATTATTAGAAAAAAGAAAAGAGATTATTCAGTCATACAGGGTCAGAATAATATCAGTACCAACATTTTCAGCTGCAAATGTTCAGAGTCAGAATATTGAATATAAAAAACAATTAGTCTATTGAGTACATAGTAGGCCATACCAAAATGTCTGCTTTTATTCTAGGAAATGTGAGTGATAAACTTGCTCAAGCTTTTCTGAGTTTTAAAGGTCAGGTACAACACTGACCTTAATGCAGATTTACAGCAATTTTTACTCAGTGTGTGTTAATACGCTTAGCATAATGCATGTGCTCAAAGTGCATTGGAGGGGATGTTCATGGAGAGATGTGATGGCAAATAACAGTGCAGACAATTAATGCTGAATTAATTAATTTTAATTCAACACAATCTCAATTATCAATTGAAAGTCATATGTCTCTTATTTGGCCTTACCATGTTTTTGCTCAGGGGTATTTCTTGATTCAGTCTGAAAAGAATTGAATGCTGATATTGATTGTTGCATGTTAAAGATCTTTCTGTACTCCCCCTACTAATGAGATTATCTTGCATATACAAATAAAATGTACTTTCAAACCACACCAACCCATTTTTAAGCCCCCATAATTACTGTCCTTTCAGGAGCCACAGCTCTTTAATTTCTTTAACTTCATCTTTCTTCCATAAACATTTCTGATTTTGTTCTATTGTACCTGTTCCAGGTTGTCTTTCAATAGATTGCTTGGAGGAAGTGTTCCCTTGTACACATAACAAACAGTTGCCTTATTACTCTAAGCTAGAAGTAATTGTTCTGGTTTATCTAAATTAGATAAATATTTACCAGGACAGGTGTTATAATCAGCTCATGCAGACATACAAATGTATCCTTCTTTCTGGTGCATTTTAACCAGCATTCTTAAAGAATTTGCAAAACACTTTGCAATACAGAAAGCTGAACAGCTTAGTTTATAGACGCAAAGCTTTCTTCTTCCCCACAGCACTAACTGCAATTAGCTGCAGAAAACCTGAAGTGACCTCCTACATCATCATCTCAAGTCCTTGCTACTGCATACAGTGCTGCTTTCAATACTAGTCATCACCTGTTCTAGTGCTTCCTAAATCCCAAATGGTTTCTTTACATTCTTATCGAAGGTTC